TGTGTGTGTGTGTGTGTGTGGTGTGTGTGTGTGTGTGTGTGTGTGGTGTGTGTGTGTGTGTGTGTGTGTGTGTGTGTGTGTGTGTGTGTGTGTGTGTGTGCGCGCACGCGCGCGCGCGCGTATGGCTGGTCCTGGGGTTTGGACTCAGGGCATGGTTGCTTATGCTTAGGGTGGGTGCTTTACCACCTCTTCTGGCTTTTTGGTGATTAACTGGAGATATGAGTCTCACACTTTCTTTCCTGGGCTGGCTTTGAACTGCAATCCTCAAATCTCAGCCTCCTGAATAGCTAGGATTACAGACATGAGTCACCAGCACCCAACTCACTACTTTTCCTTTTTTTTTTTTTTTGGGAGGGGGTCCAGTCGTGGGGCCTGAACTCTGGGCCTGGGCACTGTCCCTCAGCTCTTCAGCTCAAGGCTAGCACTCTACCACTTGAGCCACAGCGCCACTTCCAGCTTTTTTCTTTTTGCTTATGTGGTGCTGAGGAATCGAATCCAGGGCCTCAGGCATGCAAAGCAAATGCTCTATCACTGAGCCAACTTCCCAGCCCCTAATTTTCCTTTTTTTGTGTCAGTTGAGGGGCTTGAACTTCGTGCCTGGTCGCTGTCCCTGAGCTCTTAAGCTCAAGGCTAGTGCTCTACCACTTGAGCCACAGCACCACTTCCGGTTTTCTGGTGGTTAATTGGAGATAAGAGTCTCATGGACTTTCCTGCTCAGGCTTCTTTGAACCGTGATCCTCAAATCTCAACTTCCTGAGTAGCTAGGATTACAGGGGTGAACCACCAGCACTTGGCCAACTCACTACTTTTTTTTGGGGGGGGGGAGGGGTCCGGTTGTGGAGCCTGAACTCTGGGCCTGGGCGCTGTCCCTCAGCTCTTCAACTCAAGGCTAGCGCTCTACCACTTGAGCCACAGCACCACTTCCAGCTTTTTTTTCTTTTTGCTTATGTGGTGCTGAGGAATCGAACCCAGGGCCTCATGCATGCAAGGCAAGCGCTCTACCACTGAGCCACCTTCCCAGCCCCAACTCACTACTTTTTGTAGTCATAGTTCAACTAGTTGTGCCAGGAAAGTGCTGGGGGTGGTCAGTTTCTCAGTGTTTTTGCCCAGGTTGTTTGTGCACTTGTAGTCATTTCCAGTCCAAACAGGATGCAGGTGGGGCTGTGTCTGAATGCAGAAGTTTCTGTGGAGCAGAGTAAAACATCATTCTTCCCAGACCATGAGGAGCAGGTCAGGCCTTACAGGTCACACTGGTGTACATCACTCTTCAACTGGGCCATTGCCATGAGCTATGCTCTTTTTATAGCCACAATTTCTGAATTCATGTAGGAAAAATAAACTCACAGAAACGATGTCAGTTTTGTCAGCTTTAAGCCATCAAATATTCCTGATCATACCTGGCCTTCATGACCACTGGCAATTACAAGTTCTATCCTACCCTAATGTCAGTTTCTAAGGTTACTTTCAGCTCACAGGTAACACTTCACAAGATGAAAGGCAAAGAAAGGGCTAAAGTGATGCAGGCTTCAACGGTGCCTTACTGATGGCAGAAGCATCAAGCGATGTGGTTCAACGAGATGCTAACAAAGGAACCCAGGGATAGAGTTGTTCAGACAATGCGTCATAAGACTCAGAGCCAAGGCTCTAGCCAAGGCTGGGAGCTTAGACAGGGTATCGCCAAGATGCAGACATGGCTCAAAATGCAGAGATGGCTTCAGGCTACCCTTCTGGCCCAACAATTGGAAAGGACAAGCAACTGTATTGTTCTGAGCTGAAGCTCTGGGACTGAGTTAATTCTGGGACAGACACACTGAATGGCCTGATGACAAGTCTGTGGGTGCTGCTGCACCCTAGTATTAGGTGTCCTACTTTTTGTTAAGATCCAGGTGGAGGAGTTATAGTCATTCACTGATGGGCCTGGTAAGATGGATAAGCTTCATGACTGCTTTCTCTGACATATTTTTGATTTAATCTGATTAGTTCATAAGTGGTAATTTATTACTTGCTTTTGAAGGATATATTTTAATTTCTGGATCAAGTGATACAACATTTTAAGAATCTGGTTTGTGGGCTGGGAATGTGGCTTAGTGATAGAGTACTTGCCTAGCATGCATGAAGCCCTGGGTTCGATTCTTCAGTACCATATAAACAGAAAAAGCCAGAAGTGGTGTTGTGGCTCAAGTGGTAGAGAGATAGCCTTGAGCACAGAGAGGCTCAAGGACAGTGCCCAGGCTCTGAGTTCAAGCTCCAGGACCAGTCAAAAAAAAAAAAAAATCTGGTTTGTCCCAGGACAAAATTCAAGGCTTCCCCATTCAAGGCTGGTATGACTATACCCCAATTCAAAGTGTCAGCTGGAGACATGTCTCAGATCTGTTGACAATCACCTTCTGATTTTTTTTTTTTTTTTGGTCTGTCGTGGGGCTTGAACTCTGGGCCTGGGCATTGTCCTTGATCTCTTCATTCAAGGCAAGCACTCTACCACAGTGCCACTTCTGGTTTTCTAGTGGTTAATTAGAGATAAGAGTCTCAAAGACTTTACTGCCCAGGATGGCTTTAAACTGTGATCCTCAGAGCTCAGCCTCCTGGCTAGCTGAGATTATACGTGTGAGCCACTGGCACCCGGCTCTGTTGTGGTTTTAAGAACTCCAAACAAAGCCAGTGCTGGTGGCTCATGCTGTCTGAAGGCTGAGATCTGAAGTTCATGGTTAAAAGCCTGGGCAGAAAAGCCCATGAGATTTTTTTTTTTAATTTTAATTTTTTTATTGTGAAAATACTTGTACAGAGGGGTTACAATTACATGGGCAAGATAATGAGTACATTTCTTATCAAGCATTGTAGCCTCCTCCTTTGTTTCCCCTTCCCTTCCCTTCCCATCCAGCCCATGAGATTCTTACTTCAATTACCCACCAAAAAGCCAGAAGTAGAACTGTGGATCAAGTGGTGGAACACCAGCTTTGAACAAAGAAGTTCAGGAACAGTGGCCAGGCCCTGAGCTTAAGCCCAGAACTGGCATGAAACACAACGTTACTGTTGTAACCACCTGAGCCATGCCACCCAGACCCTTGTGTTTGGCTTTGCTGTGGAGTGTTATTGTTAGTGTTTCTCCTAAACATAAACCAGGGCACAAAGGCCTGTGCTGCACCTCATATTCAGGAATCTGGAATTGGGAAAGGATGGGAAGTGGTCATGAAATATGTTCAGGTGTTTGCAGTTACCTCAGTGAGCCTAGAACCTGCCTGCTCCTCAGGTTCATGTCCTGTTCTCAGCCTTCCGAGGCATTGCAGGGATTGGTTTTGTGTATTTCTCTGCCTCCATTCTCAGGGCTGGCAACACCCCAGTCTCCATGGTCAGATCCATGTATTTGTGTGAGGCTGGATGGGCTTCACTCTGCAGGCTTCATAAATTCAGAAGTGAAGTCTACTAGTTCTGTGGCACTCTCTCCTCCAGGAGGTAGAAGATGAATACTCTAATATATAAAGGCTGCCCAATAAGTGGGCAAAAAACCATATTAATTTATAGAGGCTGGTAGACCTTTATTCTTTGCTTTTTATAATTTGTTAATTTGATTCTGATTATGAAATAATGCATATTCTTATAATTTGGGAACTCAGAGAAGTATGATGAACAGAAAGGAACTCTACATTACCAAAGCCTACTTATTACAGATCCACTTGTGAGCACAATTTAGTATGGGGTCTTGCTGTGTACACTTTGGCATTCGTGTATTCTCTCTCTGTTGGTCATGGATGGGGCTTAACCTCTGGGCCTGGGCACTGTCCCCTCAGCTCTTCAGCTCAAGGCTAGCGCTCTACCAATTCAGCCACTTCTGGTTTTCTAAGTGGTTTATTGGTGATGAGTCTAAGGGACTTTACTACCCTGGCTGGCTTTGAACTGCAATCCTCGTATCTCAGCCTCCTGAGTAGCTAGGATTACAGGCGTGAGCCACCAGAGCCCGGCTTTTTCTTTTTTCTTTTTCCTCAAGGCAGCACTCTACCACTTGAGCCATAGTGCCACTTTTTCTGTTTATGTAGTACTGAGGAATTAAACCCAGGGCTTCATGCATGCTAGGCAAGCACTCTGCCACTAAGCCACATTCCCAGCCCTCTTGCATTCTCTTTTACTTTTATATAGAGAAGAGGAAAATGTGCTTTCTCAGTCCCTCTATCTCTTCCATCCTTGGGAACCTCATGTCCAGTACCCAGTCCATTATCAAAGGGATGCTTTGGTGAACATCAAACCTGCACAAGACAAAACATATGAAACCCTGCCAACGCTTGTGGCAGGCAAGGTTATTCCTACCCTGGGCGTCCTCTTCTCGCTTGGGCGCTGCACCATCTGAGCCATGCCACGCAGACCCTTGCGTTTGGCTTCGCTGTGGAGCCCGGGTCTTGCGCAGAGCGCGGGCTGGCTCTGCATCTCCACCGCCCGCCACAGCTTCCCAGAGCAGCGACCACAGGCCGGCGCGGCCGCGGTTGGCTTCCCGAGGCATCTTTAGCTTTAGGAGCGTGCAAGGCCGGGGCGTGGAGTGGGGGCTCCGCCCGGCCGGTAGCCCCGGCGGTTCCGGGGTGCAGAGGACCGGGCTTAACTCGACCCAGCGACCTCCTCCTCAGGACTCAGGGGCCGAGGCGAGGACACCCACTCCCCAACGACCAAGCCTCCGGCTGGGACGGTCCTGCACGGCCCATCCCCGCCCTCAACAAAAATGGCGCGAGCGGACTCCAGGGGGTCAGCAGGCAGGCCCCGCCCCTCTCCTTGGGTAGCTGAGAGGCCGCAGGTCGGGGGGTGGGCTCGAGCGCGATCAGCGGCCACGGGGTCACGTGACGAGAACAGCTCTCTCTCTCTCTCTCTCTCTCTCTCTCTCTCTCTCTCTCTCTCTCTCTCTCTCTCGCGCGCGCGCGCGCGCGCGCGCGCGCGCTCTCCCCCCCCACCGGTGGGCGGAGGCGACGAGGTCACGTGACACAGACAGGCCGCGCCCCTCCCGCGGGCAGCTGAAAGGCGGCGGCGGCCCGGAGCGGCGGGAGCGCGGGAACATGCGGCTGGCGTCTCTCGAGCTCTGGGCCGCGCTGGCGCCGCTGCTGTGTGGCTGCGCGCTGGCGCTGCCCGGGGGCCTGCTGTACCCCCGGGAGAGCCCCTCTCGGGAGCGCAAGGACCTCGGTGGCCTCTGGAGCTTCCGCGCCGACCTCTCCGACGGCCGGCGCCGGGGCTTCGAGGAGCAGTGGTACCGGCGGCCGCTGCGGGAGGTGCGGGGTCCGCGGGGAGGGCGAAGACCAGCGGTGCGGCGGGGGCGGCGCCGAGGTGTGCGCTGCCCGAGGCCGGCTGTGCGGGGAAGCCACTCGGCCACGGCCTCGGAGCCCGCTGCTCCCCCAGAAAGGAGCCGGGGAAGGGCTCCGGAGCCGCGCGCACCCGAGGGGCCCTGGGTCCCCACATGCGGGAGGACGGGGCTGGGCACCCAGGCGCGGACCCATTCCAAGCGTCCCCTCCTGGGAAAGGCTGGCCCTGGGCTGGGACGTGGGCATGGTGGACACGCGAGCCTGCCCACCCCAGGTCCTGCTGCGTGTGGGGAGTTTACTTAACTACCCAGTAGTCAGCAGAAGAGGAAGTGAGTGATCCGGTTTCACCAGAGGAACCTGCCCCTTTGGCCTTCCTCGTGGTGGCACTTGGGTCATCTGCCTCTTAGTCAGTGCCTAAGGCCTCTGGCTGCGAGGCCTTCCTGTGTGCATCCCTCTGCATGGAGGTCTTGTCCCCTGCTGGTTTGCTGCCCTCAGCGAGCTCTCCATTCACAACATGTGCCGAAGCCTCGGCTGGGCACTAGATGTAGCTTGAAGGACAGTGGCCCTGGATTCCTAGGACGTCTGGCTCTGACCTGGCTGTTCCCTCTGCAGTCAGGTCCCACCTTGGACATGCCAGTCCCCTCCAGCTTCAATGATGTGAGCCAGGATGGGCAGCTGCGCCACTTCATCGGCTGGGTATGGTACGAACGGGAGGTGACCCTACCCCAGCGGTGGACACAAGATCCAAGCACAAGAGTGGTGCTGAGGATTGGCAGCGCTCACTACTATGCCATCGTGGTCAGTATGGGAGCTGCAGCCCACGGGGTGGGCAAGCTTGGCTGTCCTTCATGCCCAGGCCGGCCTGGCAGTGGGGACCCTCAGGCACTGTCCGGGACTCCGTGCTCTGTGTGTTGTGAAGTGTTGTCTAGTTTGCTCCATTGGAGGTGCATCTTCCCCTGTGCTAGTGAGGCGGGTGGAAGCCGGCAGGGCCCCCTCTTACTGCCCTGTCCTGTTGCCTTCTCCCCACATCTCCATGTGTCTGCAGTGGGTGAATGGGGTCCACGTGGCAGAGCATGAAGGAGGCCACCTTCCCTTCGAGGCTGACATCAGCAAGCTGGTGCAGAGTGGGCCCCTGGACTCCTGTCGAATTACTATCGCCATCAACAACACACTCACCCCCCACACCCTGCCACCAGGGGCCATCCGCTACCAGAACGATGCCTCCAAGTGAGCAGCCAGCCCAGGGACAGGGTGCCTTCTAGGGACATGATGGCTTTAGTCCAGGCCCTGGACTGGGACAGCTCACCCTTGTCCTCCCCCCCAGGTATCCCAAGGGTTACTTTGTCCAGGACATAAACTTCGATTTCTTCAACTATGCGGGGCTGCACCGGCCAGTGCTCCTTTACACCACGCCCACCGCCTACATCGATGACATCACCGTCAACACCGATGTGGATCGGGATACTGGTGAGGGTTCTTGTTAGGGTCTGCGTTTGGCTGAGCCCCACTGAGTTCCCTGCTTGGAAAGAACCCTCTGGAAGAATGCCCTGCATCTCTCAGCCCACACAGCTCCCTGGAAGCTCAACTCCAGACCATCTGAGCTGGCAGTGGTTTTGGGGATCACTAGTGAAGAAATGAGGCCTAGGGAGAAACAGCCTTCTTCCCCGGTGACACAGCCCAAGGGGAGAGTCCAGTTTTCCCAGTGGCTTCTCCTTCCTCTCTTTGCTGGGTCTCATGGGGCTCTGGGAGCAGTAACCGCAGCTGGCGGCTATCCACATGACAGTCCACTTCCCTTCCTCAGTGCTGGTCCCCACCTTTCCCATAGGGCTGGTGAGTTACCAGATTTCTGTCCAGGGAAGCGAACACTTTGAGTTGGAAGTACGACTTATGGACGAAGACGGCAAAGTTGTGGTCCAGGGGTCAGGGGCCCAGGGCCTGCTGCTGGTGCCTGCTGCCCACCTCTGGTGGCCATACCTGATGCATGAGCACCCTGCCTACCTCTACTCACTAGAGGTAATGGTGGTTTGGAACTGGAGTTAAGGAGATCTTTGTATGCATGTGTGCCAGTCCTGGGGTTTGAACTCAGAGCCTGGTCACTACCCCTTGATCCACAGCTCCACTTCCAGCATTTTGGTGATTAATTGGACATAAGAATCACACAGCAGGGCTGGGAAGGTGGCTCAGTGGTAGAGCACTTGCCTTGCATGCTCGAGGCCCTGGGTTCGATTCCTCAGCACCACATAAGAAAAAAGCCGGAAGTGGCGCTGTGGCTCAAGTGGTAGAGCGCTAGCCTTGAGCTGAAGAGCTGAGGGACAGCGCCCAGGCCCAGAGTTCAGGCCCCACGACCGGACCAAAAAAAAAAAAAGAATCATACAGCGTTTACTGTCTGGGCTGGTTTTGAACTTCAGTCCTCAGATCTCAGCTTCTTGAATAGCTAGGATTGCAGGTGTGAGCTACCGGTGCCTGTCAAGTTTGTATATGTAGGGCATTGGCTTTTGGCAGGAGCTCAGGATGGGGTAGGCATAGTTTTCTGAGCTTTGTGACTTTTTTTTCAACCCCTGGGAGGTCTAGCTTTGAAGAGCAGGCCCCAGGGGAGGGCTGGGCGTGTTTTTCCTGGTTCAAGGCAGATCTTCTAATTTCTGCACCTCTGTTTGTAGGCACACAGCGTACTCTTGTAGATACACATGGCACTCTCTGCTTGTAGGCACATAGTATACTCTGCTTGTAGGCACACAGCATACTCTGCTTGTAGACATACGGCATACTCTGCTTGTAGGTGCACAGGCACACTCTGCTGGGAGGCAAGCAGGTGGGTTTGTGATACACAAGCCTTTCCTAGCTGGGCAGGGGAGGCTGGGGTCAGGAACACAAGGCCAGCCAAGCTAGCACATCAAGATCCTGCTTTGGTGGGTTCTGCTGAAGGGTGGCATGGGGCGGCTCGGCTCACGTCTGCAGCACTGGCTCTCTGGCCCTGGCAGGTGAGGATGACCACGCAGGCTGCAGGCAGGCCCGTGTCTGACTTCTACGTGCTCCCCGTGGGCATCCGCACCATCCGAGTCACACACAACCAGTTCCTCATCAACGAGCAGCCTTTCTACTTCCACGGGGTCAACAAACACGAGGATTCAGATGTGAGTGGTGGTTCCATGCCTATTTGTTGCTGTTTCTGGTCCTCTGTCCTTCCTGGTGTCCCGTGGCCCCGAGGGTGGCACATTTAAGCAAGCTGCTCAGCAGTGGTGGGACAGCATTGATGGGACTTGGCAGGGCCCCGGGCTGGAGGCAGCAAGGGGAGCAGGCTTACTCTGCTACTGTCCCTAGATCCGAGGGAAGGGCTTTGATTGGCCACTGCTGGTAAAAGACTTCAACCTGCTCCGCTGGCTGGGGGCCAACTCATTCCGAACCAGCCACTACCCGTATGCAGAGGAGGTGATGCAGCTGTGTGACCGCTACGGGATCGTGGTCATCGATGAGTGCCCTGGCGTGGGCATTGTGCTGTCGTAAGTGCCCACTTCCATGCCTACCTTGCTGCCAGTGTTCCTGCCCGGCTGGCAGGCAGTGACAGCACCTTCCCTCCGGGCTGCAGCCAGAGCTTCGGGAATGAGTCCCTGCAGCACCACCTGGAGGTGATGGAGGAGCTGGTGCGCCGGGACAAGAACCACCCGGCTGTGGTGATGTGGTCTGTGGCCAATGAGCCCGCTTCCAACCTGGAGCCCGCTGGCTACTACTTCAAGTGAGTTCCCTGCCCTACTGGCTCCCCAAATTTCCCCCAAGAGCCAGACTTGCCCTGAACACACAGCCCCGGAAGCAGACAGGCTGGGCACAAGTGCTGTTTCCTCAGCTGCTATCCAGTGTAGTGTGGTCATTGTCCCCAGGACTTGGCATGCCTTCTGGGCTCTTCCTACCACCTGCCATTTTGCTCTCTGCCCCTACTACTCTATGCAGCAATAACTTAGCTTTGAGCATCCAGCACCCCTACCACATGTTGCTAATTACTCATTAGACTAACATCATCCCACCCTGGCCCCCACATACTCCAAGTCCTGTATTCAAGAGCTTTGTCAGAGGTTCAGAACAGGCTCTGGGCAGTGTTCAGCTAGGACCTCAGCATCTTTCAGTCCCCCAATGAGGGAGGCCTTGCTCCTGGAGGCGTGGCAGTGGGGGTGCTAGGGAATACAACTCTGGAAGGACACCTTAGCTTCCCTGAGCACACCTGATGGCTTCGTGTGTAATCCCAGCTATTTGAGAGGCAGAGGTCAGAAGGATTGCTATTTGAGAACAGACTGGGCAAAAAAGCGAATTAAACCCGTTCAGTCAACAAGCCAGGCATGGTGGCATATGCCTGTCATCCCAGCTCCACAGGACTCAAATAGGATTGCAGTCTAGGCTGGCCTGGGAAAAATCTCTGGACTGTATCTCTAATATAACTAAAGTGGAAAAGGGCTGGGAGCATGGTGCAAGTGTTAGAAATGTAAGTACAGGCTCTTGAATTCAAACTTCAATGTTACCAATAAAACAACAACAAAAAAGCCACTGGGAGGGCAGTGACCTTGTTGAGGGAAAGGAAGAGAGATGCCAAGAGCACTTTCCAGACTGACGGCCATGTCTTCTGCCTTCTATGGACAGGACACTGATCACGCACACCAAAGCCTTGGATCCCTCTCGGCCAGTGACCTTCGTGACCAACTCCAACTATGCAACAGATCGTGGGGTGAGTCGGGTCTCCACACCACCTCTCCTCTCCCACATTGTCCTTCAGTGTTGTCCTGATACTTGTTGTTTACCTAAATCCAAGGAATCTGGGCAGAGGGAGGTGTACTTTCTGTGTTGTGCATCTCTAGTTTTTATCAATTTGATAAATTCATAAAATATGAAAGGTTGAAGAGAGCTGGGGTTTCTGCTGACAGTATTACTGAGGATGTGTTTGAAAGCCCAGGTCTCTGGGTTCTGATGTCCTAAGTCTAGGGCTGGAACCTGATGGGACTCTTGGTACCCATTGCCGGTGCTTGCAGTCCATGGGGTGGGAATAAAGGGAGGGCAGCCGCAGCCCACCTTCTTCTGAAGACCATGGACCACTCCTGGCCGGCCCAGAGCCTCCTGGGGACTGCAGTGGGCCTCACTGGCCAGAGCTATAAACACAGGAGGAAGAGTACGCTCAGCCTTGGGGAATGAGAAAAGAGAAATCTCAAGCAAACAGTGGAACAGCCATCAGTTAAGGAGCCATAGTTTTAGCATGGGTGGAGAAGCCTGGCCTCTGCTTAGTCTTTTCATGTCTATAGACCACTCCCCCTCCTAAGAAGCGAGGGCTGGGTAGCACAGGTGGGCTGGGACCTACTCGGTGTCCAGTGGCAATATGTCTCATTCTGGGCTCCTATGTGGCCTGGGACCCCGCTGGGCACCCAGGATGGGTCTCAGCGTTGCCACGACTAACCTGGTTGGGTTGGCCATCTGCAGTATGTCTGCCTGAGCCTCCTGCCAAAAAGAGGCTGGGATCAGCTGGGGAAGGCCAGTGCTGGGGCAGCTCTGGGACGAGTACTTTTACCAGAATAAGGTGCATCCACAGGATAGGTAGACTAGGTAGTTGGACACAAGTCCTTGCCATCTAGTCCTGACAGCTTTGCTGGGGCTTGAGATGTCTCTGCCCTGCCTCACCCCTCCTGCTGTCTCCTGGGAGAATCTTCAGCTGGTCTGTGCCCCCAGCACTGCTTCGTGTGCCATGGTCAATCAAGATTCCTCGTGAGCGGTAGAGGTGTGCTTATGGGCTGGGAATGTGGCTTAGTGGTAGAGTGCTTGCCTGGCCTGCCTGAAGCTCTGGGTTCGATTCCTCAGTAGACAAACAGAAAAGGCCAGAAGTGGCGCTGTGGCCCAAGTGGTAGAGTGCTAGCCTTGAGCACAGAGAGGCTCAGGGACAGTGTCCAGGCCCTGAGTTCAAGCCCAAGGACTGGCAAAAATAAGTAAATAGAGGTGTGCTTAAACTTGCAAAGCCTAGTTCTACCCCAGTGCTAAAAGGAAGACAGAAAACATTGTGAGGAGCGCTGCAGCCAGCCTTCTGGTGCCAGGAGACCAGAGACCAGGAGCTCCTGTTAGAGAGGAACAGGCTGCAGTTGCACTGGGGGCACGAGGTCCCACGTGCCTGCAGCCAGGGCCCTCCTGGCTCTGGGAGCGCCACCCGTTCCCTCTGGGGGACTGGTGGTTCTTCCTGAGAGCCCTGGGCTGTGTGCCGTCCCCAGGTTCTGTACGTGGATGTGATCTGTGTGAACAGCTACTTCTCGTGGTATCATGACTTCGGGCACCTGGAGGTCATCCAGCCACAGCTGCAGACCCAGTTTGAGAGCTGGTACAAGACCTACCAGAAGCCGATCATCCAGAGCGAGTATGGAGCGGAAACCATCCCAGGCTTCCATGAGGTACGCGCATAGCCTTCACTATTGGGACAATGAGGGACAGTGACGTCACCTCTTCAGGCCTTCCCCTTGTCTGCTTGGCCCTCTGGGGCCCTGCCTTAAATGCAGTTTTAGAACTGGAAGACAAGGCCTGATTGTACAATTCTATCATTGTCATGCACTTCGTGTACTGTTTAGACTTCCTCATGGGAGGTGGGGGTCAAAACTGGTAAGTTTTGTTGTCTCCTGATTGAAACACTAAGACCTGAGCTTCCAGAAAGTTCTCAGGTGGAAACTCAGACTGTGTCCCATGAACACCTTTTCCACCACCAGTCACATAGGTCCCCAGATATGGCCTCTGGCTGTCACCTGTCACTTGGGTGCCTGTGGCCCTGTCCCAGACCCCTGCTGGCCCTGGGCTCCTCCTCAAGCTCCTCCCTCATCTCACTTGCAGCTTGTACCATAGGGTGTAAGTCTTTGAGCCAGTGATGCCTTGCTTCCTTGCAACTTCATCGCCAGTGCTGCCACAAACAGGTATGAGGTTAGTTAGTTGGTGAGCAGCTAAGTAGCAGCCCCAGACCCACATTGGCTACATGCTACGTAGCTAGATGCACTAGCAGGTGAGTTAAGTCTGAATCACTCTAGCTCTCAAGTTATGCCCCAGCAGCTGCCTAAAACTTGAAGCCCAGTGTAGTTCAATGTAGAGCCCTGCCTCAAATGCCTGGGGTGCTGGGTTCAATCCTCTCCCCATGAAATAAGAAGGCAAGCTGGCACAGTAGCACATCCTTGTAATTAGGAGGTGGGACCAGGACTGAGCAGTTGAGCTGGGGGGAAAGGTTCATGAGGCCTCTGACAAACAATGACTGTGGTGCATGGCATACACCTGTTGTCGCGGCCGTGCTAGAGGTATAAATGCCAGGATTGTGATCCAGCTGGTGTAGGCATAAATGCAAGACATACCTGGAAAGAAACCAGGAAGGGTTAGGGGCATAGCTCAAGTGCTAGAATGCTTGCCTAGCAAGTAAAGAAAGGGCCAAGTTCAAATCCCAGTACTGCTCCCCAAAACAAAACCTTAAGGCAAAGCCTGCATCGTGGCTCATGCTTATAGTCCCAGCTAAGACAGGAGTTTGAAGTGACCTTGGGGTGATACACAGCTACATTCTCACTGGAAAACAACCTGGGTGCTGGTGGCTCCTATCTGTCACCAGCTGATCAGGAAGCCAGGATCTGAGGATCACCGTTTGAAGCCAGCTTGGACAAGAAAGTGTGAGACTCAGCCACCAAAAAGCTGGAAATGGAGCTGTGGCTTAAGTGGTAGGGCACTAGCTTTGATTGAAAAAGTTCAGTGATAGTGCCCAAGTCCAGAATTCAAGCTCTATTTGTGCTGACAAATAGAAAAAAAAATATCAAAAAACAAAAAAAGTATAATTTAAGACTAGCTAGGATTAGGAAAGATAAATACCAAGTTATAGTAAAAAATAAAGCAGGGCTGGGAAGGTGGCTCAGTGGTAGAGTACTCTGGGCCTGGGCGTTGTCCCTCAGCTCTTCAACTCAAGGCGAGCGCTCTACCACTTGAGCTACAGCGCCACTTCCTGGATCTTTATTTTTATCTAATGTTTACCATGATCCTCTCTGCCTTGGACCCCAGGACCCCCCTCTGATGTTCAGTGAGGAGTACCAGAAGGGCCTGCTGCAGCAGTACCATTTGGTTCTGGACCAGAAACGCAAAGAGTACGTGGTTGGAGAGCTCATCTGGAATTTCGCTGATTTCATGACTAACCAGTGTAAGTGGCTGCTTGGCTCAGGAATAAACTATTTCTGAGTTTTTTCAGTTCTGGGCACTTGGAGTACTGGAAACAAAAGGAGCACTGGGTTAATCATTGTAGGCTATAGAGTATTTCCTGGGAAAAGTAAGTTGTTTTTAGCAACAGGAAAGCCCTTTTGTGCTAGCCATTTTTTGGTTAAAAAACAATTGGAGGGCTGGGAATGTGGCTTAGTGGTAGAGTGCTTGCCTAGCATGCATGAAGCCCTGGGTTCAATAACTCAATACCACATAAGCAGAAAATGTCAGAAGTAGTGCTGTGGCTCAAGTGGTAGAGTCTTAGTCTTGAGCAAAAGGAGCTCAAGGATAGTGCCCAGGCCCTGAGTTCAAGCCCCAGAACTGGCAAAAAAAAAAAAGAAAAAAGCAATTGGAACTTGGTGCTGGTACCTCATGCCTGTAAACCTAGTTACTCAAGAGGCTGAGATCTTAGGTTTGTGGTTCAAAGCCAGCCAGTGCAGGAAAGTCCATGAGACTTTTGTTGTTGTTGTTGGTTGTGAGGATTGAACTCTGGGCCTGAGTACTGTCTCTGAGCTCTTCAGTTCAAGGTGAACACTCTACTATTTGAGCCACAGTGTCACTTCTGGTTTTCTGGTGGTTAATTGGAGAGAAGAATCTCAGACTTTCCTGCCCAGGCTGGCTTTGAACTGTGATCCTCAGATCTCAGCCTCCTCAGTAGCTAGGAGTACAGGCGTGAGCCACTGGTACCTGGCTCCATGAGACTTATCTCCAATAATTACCTAAAAGTCAGAAGTGGAGCTGTGGTTCAAGTGGTATAGCATTGAGCAAAAAATCTCAGGGACTGCACCAAAGCCATCCCAGGCAGAAAATCTTATCTCTGGTTAAAAAGCAAAAAGCTGGAAGTAGAGATGTGGCCCGAGTGGTAGAGCACCAGTTTCCAAGGAAAAAGCCAAATGACAGTGTGAGACCTGAGTTCCAGCCCCAGTACCAGCACAGACAAAAAAAGGCAGTTGGAGCTGGGTATTGTTGGGCATGCCTGTAATCCCAGCTGTTCAGGAGGTGGAGGTAGAAGATCACAAATTCAAAATTAACCTAGGCAAAACCCAAACTTGGGAGGTATAGTTCAAGAGGTAGAGCAATTGCCCAATAAGGCCCCTATTTAACCAGTGAACCAAACAAATCCAGAAAATCTTTTTGGTCTTTGAGGCAGGGTCTCGGTATGCAGCCTAGGCTAATCTAGAACTCCTCATGTATCTCAGCATGAGATATCCCAGCATGGGATACATGACTGTCAATTCTGCTTCTGCTTTCTGAGCGTCCAGCCTTCCATGCCAGGGAAGCGGTGAGCTGGCTTTGATGTTGCACAACAGCCAGGGAAACCTGGTTTTGTCACACAGCCATTATCTCAGAGAAGGGCCCTGGGCTTGGGAAGAGGGAGGGAATTACTGACTTATAAGCAGCGGGTAAGTTTTGAAGCCCTCTGGGGGTGAGTGTTGAAAAGGCTTCTGAGGACGCAGTAGTGGTGAAGCTGGGCCACCTCCTCCATGCGCCCATGTGTTTCCCGCTCTTCGCAGCTCTAGACAGCCTGGGGAAAGGACGGGAGCGGTGGAGACGGTGCTGCCTTGTTTGGGGACAGACGCTAACTAGAGAATAGAAAGGAGGGAGATAACTGAGCAGACGAGGCGGGCTGAGAAGAGCTGGGGAGTGGGCAGGGACACTGTGCTGTTCATGGCGGCTGTGACCTTGGCTTTTCACCTCTCCACTCTAAGGCTTGGCTTTCATTTCTGTTTGGTGAAGTACCTGGCAGTGTTAGGTATTCACTTGTTGTTTTTATTTGGGAGGGGGGGTGTAGCCCTGTTTTCTTTGTTTTTTTGTCTGTTGTGGGGCCTGAACTCTGGGCTTGGGCGTTGTCCCTCAGCTCTTCAGCCCAAGGCTAGTGCTCTACCATTTGAGCCACAGTGCCACTTCTGGCTTTTTCTGCTTATGTGGTGCTGAGGAATCGAACCCAGGGCCTCATGCATGCAAGACAAGCGCTCTACCACTGAGCCACCTTCCCAGCCCCAGTCCTGGAGTTTGAACTTTGGGCCAGATGCTGTCACTGAGCTCCTTTTGTTCAAGGCTAGTACTCTACCACTTGAGCCACAGTGCCACTTCCAGTTTTTCCTGAGTAGTTTACTGGAGATAAAAATCTCAGACTGGGGCTGGGAAGGTGGCTCAGTGGTAGAGTGCTTGCCTTGCATGCCTGAGGCCCTGGGTTCGATTCCTCAGCACCACATAAGCAAAAAGAAAAAAGCCAGAAGTGGCGCTGTGGCTCAAGTGGTAGAGCGCTAGCCTTGAGCTGAAGAGCTGAGGGACAGCGCCCAGGCCCAGAGTTTAGGCCCCACAACCGGAACCAAAAAAAAAAAAAAAATCTCACAGACTTCCCTGCCTGGGATGGCTCTGAACCTCGATCCTCAGATCTCAGCCTCCTGAGTGGCTAGGATTATTAGGTGTGAGCCACCAGTGCCTAGCTTTTTGTTTTTTGAAGTGGGGTCTTGCTATATTGCCAGGCCAGCTCAAACTCGGGCGCAAACAATCCTGCCTCTTTCTCCAAAGTAGCTGGGTCTACAGGCATGCACCACCATAGCTGTCCAAATATTATTGAAGCTTGGTGTCAGTGAATCATCCATGTAATCCTAGCTGAACTCAGGAGGTTGAGATTTGATGGTCGCGGTCCAAAGCCAGCTTGGACAAAAAAGTCTGTGAGACTTATCTCCAATTAACCACCAGGAAAAAAAGAAAAAAGTGGCGCTGTGGTTCAAAGTGGTAGAGCACTAGCCTTGAGCAGAAAAAGCTCAAGGACAGTGACTAGGCCCTGAGTTCAAGCTCCATGACTGAAAAAATAAAAATAAAAATTATTGTTGAACCTTCTGGTAAGAAAGTCTTCTTGCCCTCTCATCAGAGGGCAGAGAGAAATTCTGTCAGGAGTGCAGCTCTGATAGGCTGTTTGCCAGGCCTGCTGGCTTCCCAGCACTGGCTGGGCACACTGGCGAACTGCAGAGGCAGCCAAGTGGGAGGTCAGGTCTGAAGGGCATGAAGTCCTCCAGAGCCCACTCGGACACCTCTGATTGGCCGCACGCATGTGCTCACAGGAGCTCACAGCAGTTCCTGAGCCAATGGGAGATAATGCTGTGTTGTTACAGTATGAATTGTGCTTATTATAAATCTTTAAAGGAAAAAAAAAGAAACTATTTTGAATCCTTTTTGCTCCTAGGAGACTAGGAATGAGTGAGTACTCTGACTGGGAGGTTTCTCTGCACACACCTTAAATCCTGAGAGAGCCCTAGTAGCTCCATTGTGCTTCCAGGCTTGCCCATAGAAGCCATCTAAAATGCTTTTGTCCTGTTTTTCAGCACCCACAAGAGCAATAGGAAACAGAAAGGGGATCTTCACTCGCCAGAGGCAGCCCAAAAGCGCAGCCTTCCTTTTGCGAGACAGATACTGGAAACTCGCCAATGAAACTGGGTCCCACCACTCAGTGCCGGAGTTACAGTCTTTTGGAACCAGACCATTTACTTTTTAAAGCCAGAACTGCCTCTCTGCTGAGGACACCGCCCCCCACCCCTGAAGGGGAGAGGCAGCGTCCACGCGAAACCCAGCACTGCCTCTGAGACTGTTCTGGGATGTAGAAGCCCCCGATCCGGACTTGTGATACTAGAGGGACACAAGGCTTTTCTAGTATGGCAATAAAGAGTTCGTATGCCCTCAGCGGAGTGCCTTGCCCTGCTGAAAAGCTCATGAAATCCTTTTTTGCATGTCAGCTTCTTTTCAGGGCCTTGAGAAGCTGCTGCTCCCCGCCCACCCCCAGCCTAGAGCTGCCCAAGTCTTTAAACTGGGCCAGCCCCCACCCAGTGAGAAGACTCAGAGCCTCTAAGTGCCATAGAGCCAACGTTCCATATGCACGGAGAACTATAGAAACACTATTGCGATGCAAGGGTGGACACTAAAAAAGGTTTAGGCATGGATGAGTGTCTGAACTGGGAGCTCAGGCCTCGGGTTGTCCTGAAGGGTCGTCCTGAGATGGCAGTTGTAAGTAGTCCTAGCAGATGGATGAGGTGAGTTAAATCTCTTTTGCTGTGTCACAGCTGATGTCACCAGCTGAAATGCACCCTGTACCAGTGTCTGTCCTGTTCTTCCACAAGCTTCACTCAGGCAAGCACAGCATCTTTACAATTTGAGTGTTCACCAGGCTGTGTGTAAAGCAACATGCTATGAATAAACATTTTTTTGGTAGCTAACTACATGGAAGACATGGGCCGACTTATGGACACAGAACTTGATTCATTTCTCTTGTCGTTTATTCCTTGTACTCTCACTCAGCTTAAAGATCTCACAGCTCTACTACTTGAGCCATGCTGGTGTTTTGCTGAATAGATGAAGATGGAATCTTTAGGACTTTTCTCCCTGGGCTGGCTTCAGACCTTTTTTTTTTGTCGGTTGTGGGGGTTGAACTCGAGCCACAGCACCACTTCCAGTTTTCTAGTGGTTTATTGGAGATAAAAGTCTTAGGGACTATGCCGGGCGCTGGTGGCTCACGTCTGTAATCCTAGCTACTCAGGAGGCTGAGATCTGAGGATCGCGGTTCAAAGCCAGCCCGGGCAGGAGAGACTGTGAGACTCCTATCTCCAATAAACCACCAGAAAACCGGAAGTGGGGCTGTAGCTCAAGTGGTAGAGCGCTCGCCTTGAGCTGCAGAGCTGAAGGACAGCGCCCAGGCCCAGAGTTCAAGCCCCACGACCGACAAAAAAAAAGTCTCAGGGACTTTCCTGCCTGGGCTGGCTTTGAACCACGATCCTCAGATCTCAGCCTCCTGAGTAGCTAGGATTACAGGCTTGAGCCACCAGCACCCAGCTTTTTTTTTTTTTTTTTATAATTTTAAAAATTGAGATTGATTTTAAGTGATTACATAAATTTCACAGTATTGTGAGATAGTGATACTTAAAGTCACAAACACATTTTAACCACGAGGCAAATTGTCATTATCATGGTCGATAAAGTTTGTGAATTCTATGAGCTTTGACAATTATTTCTTCTACGTCGGGTGATATGTACTTCTTTCTTTTTGCTTAGTGTAAGCTGTTTTCTCTTTCCCTCTCATTCCCTTAGCTTCAAATCTTGATCTTCCAGTTTTCATGCTCCTGAGTAGCTATAATTACAGACATGAGCTACAGGTACATTATTTCTTCAAACCATTTTTTATTATTTATTGGTTGTGGGGCCTGAACTCTAGGACTGGGTGCTGTCCCTCATCTTTTCAGCTCAAGGCTAGCACTCTACCACTTGAGCACCTTCTGCTTATGTGGTATGGAGGAACTGAACCCAGGGCCTCATGCATGGGGGCAAGCTCTACCACTGAGCCACCTTCCCAGCCCCTCCTCAAACCATTTTTAAAAAAACAATGTATATGCCTGTAATCCTAGCTAATCAGGAGGCTGAGATCTGAGGATCGTGATTAAAAGTCAGCCCTGGCAGGAAAGACCATGAGACTCTTATCTCCAATAAACCACCAGAAAACAGGAAGTGATGTTGTAGCTCTTGTGGTAGAGTGCTCGCCTTAAGCTGAAGAGCATAGGGACAGGGCCCAGGCCTAGTTTCAAGCCCCACAACCAACAACAACTACAAAAATAACGTAGTCAGCAAATAGAACTTCCAGTGTTTTTGTTTTAGTTTTGGGTCCGGTCATGGAGCCTGAACTCTGGGCCTGGGCGCTGTCACTCAGTTCTTCAGCTCAAGGCTACTGCTTTACCACTTGAGCCACAGTGTTACTTCCGGCTTTTCATTTTTTGCTTATGCGGTGCTCAGGTATCAAGCTCAGGGCCTCATGCATGCAAGGCAAGTGCTCTACCACTGAGTTACCTTCCCAGCCATTTTTTTGTTTTTTTTTTTAAGCAAGCTTTCTGTTTTAGTTTAATGTCAAAAACTGCATAATGCTCTTGAGCAAAAAAACAAAATGAAATGTGGCAGACATTTATAAGTTGGCTACATCCTGGAGGCTCTGAAGTTCTTATGGGACACCATTGTTCTATCCAGCGAGGCATGGCAAAGCTATTTCAAATGGCTTTGTCATCTTTGTTCCTGTTCCCTTTTGGAAGACCCCCCCTAGGAATGGAGCATGGCTATGGAAAAACATCTACTGTTCTTTTTTTTGCCAGTCTTGGGCCTTGAACTCAGGTCCTGGGCACTGTCTCTGAGCTGCTTTTTGCTCAAGGCTAGCGTTTACCCCTTGAGCCTCAGTGCCACTTATGGCTTTTTGTGTCTGTGGTACTGAGCAATTGAACCCAGGGCTTCACGCATGCTAGGCAAGCACTCTACCACTGAGCCACATTCCCAGCCATGTCCTTAATTTTTTTTTTGGTTGGTCATGGGGCTTGAACTTTGGGCTTGAGTGCTGTCCCTGCGCTCTTCAGCTCAAGGTGTCCTTAATTCTTAATACTCTTATCTGCCACAAACCAACAGGGAGTCTAGGAACTAGAACCCTTAAAACAACAACATAAAACCCTATGCCAGGTGCCAGTAGCTCATGCCTGTAATCCTAGTTACTCAGGAGGATGAGATCTGAGTATGGTCAAGCAGGAGAGTGGACTCTTCAATTGACTATCAAGTCCAGGGATGGAGCTGTGGCTAAGGTGGCAGAACATTATCAGCCTTGAGAAAAAGAAGCCCCAGGACCAGCATACATACAAACTTCTCTGAAAGGCACATGATTTGTAAGAAAGAACAACTCAGAGATGAGGTTACAGCATTGACTCTATCTCCTGAAGCTTCCTAGGGGAGCTTCTTCTTAAAAAACTTTAACCCTTAGTGTAAGAAGGACAGCAGCAGACTTCCACAGGAAACGTCTACGTTTATTTTATAGCAAAAAAGTTATGTGCAACAAATAAACATTCTTACATATTTACAATGGTTTTTATTTACCAGTTAGCAAAATGGTATTCTAAATCTCTGATAAAGAAACTTTCTATCTCTATTAAAGGGGAAATCTTCCCAGTGAACTGGATTTTAAATGAATGTTTACTCAGGAGCTTAAATGCACTAGTAATAAATACTTTTGATGGAACATTACAGATTGTACACCTCATATTTAGGCCATGCTCAATAGTGTTTTGTGTGTGTGTGTTGTTTTGTTTTTTAAAAGAGCATTTCAAGTTTTCTGGGCTAATTTGTTGAAAAAAGTGTAGCCAAGTAGCTTGGACTCCCACCCTGCTGCCCCTTTCGTTTTATCCAAGGGGGGTTCTCACAAGCTAGGGCTCCTCGGTGCGCCTGAAGCGTGGATGTGGAAATGCTTTGTGGATGCTGTGTGCTGGAGGGAAACACAGAGGACGGAGTGGAGGACTCCGTGTGCCCTCACAGGTCACCGAAACGGCGTAGTGGGACTTTGTTGGCATTTGTCTCACCTGATTTTTAAGATGAGATCGCCTGTCAGTATTCACTGGCATCTTAAAGTGGTGCCAATCTAACTTAGAAAGTAATTCCTGGAGATTTCTTTGTACTTTTGTAAAAGATAAGATTTTGAAAAACAAGAAGCAAACAAAAGCCAACAAATAGTTTTTAATTTTATTGTAGTCTTGGTCCTATATCTTATCCAGTAAATCCAAAGATCCTTTGTACCAAATGAAAAATCTTCATCTCTTTGTATGAAAATAGTCAATGCTTTTTAACATTCTTTAAAAATAATGAATTTAGGAGAATCTATATATATATGTATATATATATATCAAGTAAAAGTAATTCCTGGCACACAGCTAATTAAACCTGAGTTATTCCAGAAGTTTACTCCCACTGACAGCAACTAGCTGCAAAAGACCTTATGGAACCCTCCAGACCACCGGACCCCCCTGGTCACAGCTTCTCCTGTTCTTCCAATATTTATGACTTAAAAATAGGAGGCTTTGTTATAGACCACTTGAAAGCCACAAAGCATGGAGTTACTGTAGAAACCAACCACTTGTTTTCTAATCTGTCCTTGACCATGGGTGGCTAGTAATGCCTCAGTGTTTTAAGTATCCAGTTTAAAAGTCCGTTTAACAGCCTTCAGATTTTACACGGGGAGTTCCCTGTCTCCTGGGTGGACAGAAGGTACAGAATGGAGCCTAAATTCTCCCAGGGCAGAAAGTACCAAATAACGTGCAACAGGGTTTTCTGTTGTTCATTGAGAAATGAGCTTTTCAGCAAATCACCTGCTCACCTCTCAGTAAGAAAAGGGATCAAAGGAATGTGGCAAAAACTTTATACACAACCCAAAACGCTGGCTTCTCCAAGGCTAAGGAAAGCAAAAGAAAAACTTGAAGAGACAGTCTGGTGCAACACTTTCACAGTTTCTAAGAGTTGAAGACATTTATGAGAATACAACATCATGACAAGCTTTAACAATCCTCTGCTGATCCATACAAAATGTGGTGGAAAGGGTCTGAATTCGGAACACAGAACCTGATCAGCACAACTGCCATGCATACCACACAAGTCTTTTGCCATAGAGCCATTTCCACATGAGCTTACGAAGAACCAGCCACCAACGTGGTGGACCTGGGCCCACTGTTCAAACCCTCAAACACAGGCACTTGTTCCTGTCATCACCAGTCATTCAACCAATGCTTTCTATGGTTCTTTGACTATTTCGGAATACAGGAACCACACATAAAAAAGACAGGACAGGCACTGGAATATTCACATTCATGGGGACAAGCCTTGAAGAAATCTGAATTAAGCTATCCTTTCTTTAAGCAACTGGTTAAAACCCACTAAAAGTTTATTATGATTCAGACTTTATATCTGCCTTCAGCCAGAAGACCTACGTTGCCAGTATGACCAGTGTTAACTGCTGAACCATTGTGGACTCCACATTTCAGCTTATGCTGCAAAGCCTGCCTGCCCTTTCCTTCAGAAAGAAAGCAATAAAGCTCTCAAAAGTTACCAATCTAATGGACTGTTTTTGTTGTTTTTAACATAATGATCTATCGAATTGAAAGCAAAACCATTGCCACCACTTCTCAGTCTAAGGAATGAATGGCCATACAGAACCTTTCTGCAAAATGCAAAGTTTCTACTTCATGGCAAGAAAGAAAAGACTTCTGCCCAAGTTCAATGCACAAAATATTTGGTTTGAGGTTTAAGACAGAAGGCACTTTTAACATTGAGATGCTAACTGTGGAAGCGTACAGCCACAATTTCATGTTTGTTCAAATCACCTCCAAATGTCTTCTTACTATATTTATGTAGTTATTAGAAACATTACTGTATTTCACCTCCAGATACATCTACCTATAGTACCTTCACGGATATGCAAACGGAGTGCTCAAGTCTATAGGTTCAGTATCTGATTGTGAAAGTTACCAGCAATCCTTAAGTGCAAAACGAAATAGGGAAAACACTATAGAAAGAGCAAGTCCACTCGGGTGAGTGGGCTCACCCTTGTCATCTCACAGTCAGAACACTGTTTGGTTGACTGGCACCAATATTAAGGAAAAATATCTGAACTGAAAACTCAGCTATTGTAAGAGGCTTTATATAAAAATGCCATATTGGTATTTCCAGTTTTTTTTTGTCAAAGAAAGTCCCATTTTCTCACCACGAGTGTCTGGAAGGCCTTGGACTGAAGATCTGATCACATCTTGTGAGGTTATAATCGATCCAGTTCTATGACTACACAAACGTTGCCTGAACCTTCAAATTTAGTTTCTTCCTTTCTGAGCAGGGATATGAGAAAGGGACCAACCACGCTACCATTTCTGCAGTCAGAGCTGCACCCATGCTGTCAGGACTCGTCACAGATGCTTTGCAGGGCCTATAGCTTCCCCTGTGTCGTCCGTCAATGCTGGGCTGCTACACTTTAACTGAACTGTACAGTGAGTTCTGCAGGGATGGATCCAATATTTCTACCTTTATTTACAAATATCACATGAATGGACTCTAGTTCAATCTACATGTTTAAATCCATCAGCTAAAAACATAGTACATATTGTAAACATAGCAATATTTAATACAGTATCTATTCTAAAATATTTTCATGTCATGATCACATTTGTTATACCTGAAATAGAATTTATACACATTAAAGAATTACTAGCAATGGTTGCTCACCTTACAATTGAGGAAAGGGGTATAGGGCTACATTTTATTATCTCAGAAACATCTTCAAAGTAAAGTTAAAGCTTGTCTTTGATTGGCTCGGTGTATCCTTTTTTGTATCCATATTTAAAATGAAGATTGACACAGAAAATAGCTAGGGCCCCTTCTAATTTACAGTATTTTAAAAAATCAGTTTGAGATTCTTAGGGAAAGTGTCTGTTGTGAATAATAATAATTAAAAAAAAAAACGGCTGTAAAATAAACTTAATGGAAAGGGACTTCAGACTGTCAGTCGGTGAGAGTTCTCAGGCCGTCAGTCCTGCTTGGGCTGCAGCTGCCGTTTCCAGGCCTCATTCAAGTAAACTAGTCGTTTGTAGTTGATGATAAGAAGGATGAAGTTCAGCACATATGTGGTGACGCAGATGATGCAAAACTCCTTCAGCACAAAGTACAGAATGTAGGCCAGGTACAAAGAACCCACGACAGACACAATGGAGGATGTCATGAGGATCAGAGCTGCAACGGCGCTGGCTGTCATTCCTGGGGGAAGAGAGACACGGCTTGTCAGGCTCTGCTCCGCAGGAAGCATCGGTTCGAAGGGGCAGTGGAGGAATACTAATCTCACTGCAAACTGACATTTGAGAAAAAAACTACCTATTTTGTTATTATTAATCAGGCTGACTTTGTAGATAGAATGCCCATTTCACAGTGGTTTTTGATTTATCAGTATTTCCACAGAAAATATTTCAGAAACTTAGCTAAATATATGCACACACAAGGAAACTTTATGTAATCTCACAGTCATATGAAGCAATGAAGCTGATCTGTAAAGTCAGTATTCATACACTGCTGGTGAGCGAGGTAACATGAGGACTGCACTCTTTCCTTCCAAAGGGTACATACACCCTGGCTTTTCACCAGGGGCTTCCCGTCTGAGGAAGGGACAATTTGGTTTTCATCTTTACATCAAACTGATAAAACAAAAAGCATACTGGGATGTGACTACAACTACACATTGCCAAAAAAAGGAAGGAAAAAAACAAACTTAGAAGCATTTCAAAGTGGTTGACTCAGTGAATATGGGAAACCACACCGGTCCAGTTGTCCACATTTGGGTTAAACTTAATCAAGAAAAAAGGCAATTAGAGTTCTCAAAGAGAAAAACATCCCTGAATTCTTGACTCAGCTTCACAAGTAGTTATTTGTTACTTTCTATACACCACAATATATAAAGAATATATGCACTAATTGTCAAGGACAGAGAAGGGAGAACGCTCAATGGCTAGTGAAGAGCAGTAAGAGGAAAAATAATAGGTGATGGCAGGCTTAAAGGCATCAACTAAGGAGTATCTTGATGCTTCCTGGCAAAAAGGCACAGAGAAGTACTGGGAAAGAGATGGTGTTTTGGCTTGCCTGAGATTCTAGTCAGAACCTCACAGCTATGCTCAGCAAGACTGAGGTGTACCAGACAACAGCAAATCTGCTTGTCAGTAAAGTTTTATTGAAACTCAGTCATTCTCACCTATTTACAACTCTGTGGCTATTTTCATACTACAAAAGCAGAGTTGAGCTGGTGTGGTGAGGCCTATAAAGCCTGAACTATTATTCTATTTTTGTGTGGATTGTGTAAGTTTGTGGGTGTCCACAGGTGCACATGTGTGCATGCCAGTACTAGGGCTTGAACTTAGCTTTTCCATTCAAGACTGGTGCTCTGCTACTTAAGCCACAGCTCTACTGCTGGATTTTTGTTGGCTAATTCGGAGATAAAAATCTCATAGAGCTGGGAAGGTGGCTCAGTGGTAGAGCGCTTGCCTTGCATGCCTGAGGCCCTGGGTTCGATTCCTCAGCAACACATAAGCAAAAAGAAAAAAGCTGGAAGTGGCGCTGTGGCTCAAGTGGTAGAGCGCTAGCCTTGAGCTGAAGAGCTGAGGGACAGCGCCCAGGCCTAGAGTTAGGCCCCACGACCAGACCCAAAAAAAAAAAAATCTCATAGACTTTCCTGCCAGAGCTGGCTTTGAACTGTGATCCTCAGATTTCAGCCTCCTGAGTAGCTAGGATTACAGGCGTGAGCCTCCAGTGCCTAACACTATTTTCTTTTTGGTCTTTTATTGAAAACATTTTTAGACTTCAGCTATGTTAAATATCTAAAACTTCAAAAAATTAATATTGCCATCTTTAGCCAAGATAGGGTTGTTTTGGAAGTGGTGGAGATTGAACTCAGGGCCCTACCACCTCAACCAACAGCAAGGAGAACTGGTGTGTCCCCGTTACCTGGCTCTGTCAGGAAACATAAAAGAGAGTCCAGGATGGCATGGGGGGGAGAGGGGGTTTGGCGGAGGAAAAAGGAGACTCTCAAAAATAATCAGGCTGGGTGCCGGTGGCTCACGCCTGTAATCCTAGCTACTCAGGAGGCTGAGATCTGAGGATTGCGGTTCAAAGCCAGCCCGGGCAGGAAAGTCCGTGAAACTCTTATCTCCAATAAACCACCAGAAAACCGGAAGTGGCGCTGTAGCTCAAGTGGTAAAGCACTTGCCTTGAACTGAAGAGCTGAGGGACAGCGCCCAGGCCCAGAGTTAAGCCCCACGACCGACAAAAAAAAAAAAAAGAAAGAAAGAAAGAAAAAAAAAAGCAGAAATGTAGGGACAAAGGGTGAACAAATGCAGCAGTGGTACTCAGTACACGTGATGTAGAAAATGTGGCGATGGGAGGGAAAAACTGGAAGAGGGTGAGGGAAGGGGTTTCATTGTCCAAAAAGAAATATACTCCTTAACTAATTAACTGTAACCCCCTCTGTATATTGCCTTTAGAAGAACAATAAATTTAAAAAAATCAATCAGAGCAAAGAAGCTAGAGGCACGGCTCCAGCTGTAGAGCCACTGCCTAGCAAGACAAAGCCCTTGAATCTTGATATCTCCAGAGGGGCTAGGGGGAAGTAATATGCTGATATAAAAAGAAAATCAAGATAGGATAAACAAAAAAAGGGGGAAAAAAACCTGGCAAGCTGTAGAACAGTGTGAACAGCACCTGCCCTTCATATTTAGAGGAAGAAATCAAGATAACTTATTGGAATTTCCTTTTATATTCATAAACTCCACAACCAGAAGGTAACAGTGGAGCCAGGGTGCAGGGGACTGGGCAACATGGAGCTGAGGTGGGGCAGAACTCTCACACAGCAGTTATGGAGCATGAATGTAAATGCTGTGTCAAGAATGGAAGGGAGTCGGGCTGGGAAGGTGGCTCAGTGGTAGAGCGCTTGCCTTGCATGCTCAAGGCCCTGGGTTCGATTCCTCAGCACCACATTAGCAAAAAGAAAAAAGCCGGAAGTGGCGCTGTGACTCAAGTGGTAGAGTGCTAGCCTTGAGCTGAAGAGCTGAGGGACAGCGCCCAGGCCCAGAGTTCAGGCCCCACGACCAGACCCCCCCAAAAAATAAAAAGAATGGAAGGGAGTGGACGCAGAGTCTCTGGATATGCTCAGATGCGCTTCCACTGACATCACATGAGCATGTGTGGAGTCTAAAATGTCCCAGGAAGCATGAATGGAAGGAATACGTATAACAAGTTAATCTTATTAAGAAAAACCTGACTGTTTCTATCTGCTAAATTAATCATCAGATTTTCCTTAGGCTTTTTCCTATGAAAATACTTTTAATGCATTTTTACTTTATGTTCATATTTTTATGTGGTTCTTTGGAATTCCAAGAGAACAAATGTACATAATTGAGAAGTGAATTTCTTCTCTCCACTAACCACCAGCTCCTGCTCTACGGTTACATGCATGCATGCAAGCATACATGTGCCTTATGCCTACTGAACTATCATTTGCTTTTCACTCAGTGCTGTTTCAATCCTCTGTTTTCACTCAATACCTAAGTAGTCCCTTCTAATATGGATGTGGCCCAATTCATTCAGTCATTACCTACTATGGACTACTTCTAATTTTTTGCTATTTTAAGTGCCACTGCTATGAGTACCCTTATGTACACATCTTTATATCTGCGATCAATAAACATATGCAGAACTGGGCAGACTTGATAGGATTATTCAGAAAAATCCACACAATTTGCCTCATGACAAATCCAACTTCAGACAGAAGAGTTAAGTGTATTATTATTATTATTTTATTTGTCAATTGTAAGTCTTGAACTCTGGGCCTGGGCATGACCCTGAGCTCTTTAGCTCAAGACTAGAGCTCTGCCACTTGAGCCACAGCACCATTTCCAGTTTTCTGGTGGTTAATTGTAGGTAAGAGTCTCAGGGAGGGCTGGGAAGGTGGCTCAGTGGTAGAGCGCTTGCCTTGCATGCATGAGGCCCTGGGTTCGATTCCTCAGCACCACATAAGCAAAAAGAAAAAAGCCGGAAGTGGCGCTGTGGCTCAAGTGGTAGAGCACTAGCCTTGAGCTGAAGAGCTGAGGGACAGCGCCCAGGCCCAGAGTTCAGGCCCCACGACCGGACCCCAGAAAAAAAAAAGAGTCTCAGGGACTTTCCTTGCCCGGGCTGGCTCTGAATTGTGATCCTCAAATCTTAGCCTCCTGAATAGCTAGGATTACAGGCATGAGCCACCAGCGCCCGGCGATAAATGTATTTTTAATGAAGCGAATCACAGAAACACTTGTAAACCATGGGATAAAATATTAACAGGTGCAATGCAAAGGGCAGAAGTGAAGGTGTTTAAATATAAAATACAAAAAAATTCACAAAACAGAAAGGATAAAGAATGGGTTAAAGTGTTTGTAAAAATATGAAAAAATAAACGATCTCAATAATCTGGCAAAAAAGGGAAATTAAAATATGGTAAAGTTAAAAAAACAGCTACTAATATCTTAGAAATTGGACAGACACTTGTAAAATATGAAGCCTGGACGAAGACAGACAACTATTAGAATCCACTAAAATTCCTATATGTTCTGATTCATTAATTCTACACCTAGAAATGAGTTTTGTGGGGATAGTTCAGAGGGTTGGGGAAGAGGGAACTTTAAACAAAGTTGATTACTGTAGCATTATTAAGAACAAAGAAAATGTGAAACTTGGAGGTCAACAAAAACAAAACAGAAAATAGGCAGCACTACATTGAAGGTAAGCAATCCCACAAAACCATTTTGAAGGTTTTGAAATGCAGAAGACAGAGCTGAGGATGTAGCTCAGTTGTAGAGTACTTTCCTAGCTTATGGGAGGCCTGGGTTTGATCCCTAGTACTGCAAAAGAAAAGAAAAACAAAACAAAACAAAAAACACCAGCAGGCAGTGGAAGCAGTAGTGGTGGATTAAGGAACATCATCTTCAGTTAATGTTTTCTCAATACATAATACTTTTAAATGGCTACACAGCCTGCAAGACAGTAGAAGCCAAGTGTACAATGAAGCCCGGAGCACAATCTCCACAATAGAACTGCAATGAAATGCTGCTGTTCATGATTTAACACCAACTGATACCAAGTTCAATGTTGACATCATTAAAACAAACAAAGTAAACAACCTTACTTGAACCATGTTTTCATAACACAGAAATAGGCTACAATCTTAGTGCTTCTATCATTGACATATGCTTTTATTTAATATAAAGACACTTCAGAGCAAAGACACAAAACACTAAATGGAATATAGCAAATTCATTTTTGTAATGCTGTATAGATACTTACCAAGTAATAACTGCAGTATATAAAATATAAGTCCAAAGACACTGTTTGGCTGGTTTAATACACCATCTTTTCCAAAAATGGAACCCAAAAGACCAAATCCTCGACCCCATCTGTAAAATAAGGAAAACCAGTAACCCTATATTTGACATTCCCTACGTTTAAAATGTAAAATTAGTTGAGAAAGCTATCCAGTTCTAAAATAAGCTAAGTTGCCAAACTTCTTAAGTATCTTTTGTTCAGTGTGATTACCCACACAGCGCTGCCAGTCACTGTATTTCTAATACAACGTACCTAAACATGTCAATGTGCCCATCAGAATCTCTAAGCAGCCTGATTCTCTATCCTCTCTTTTCCAAAAGGTAACACTATCGGTGTTGGCTGATGAGCCATTCTGAATTGAAGCCAGGGTCTCTTAGTAGTGGCACACTGGCCTTTTGGACTACATTATTCTTTTGTGGGGGGGTGGCTCTGTATGTTGCCAAGTGTTTAGCACTCTCCCTGGCCTCCACCTACTAGGTCCTTGCACTATTTCCCATCTCCAGCTGTGACTACCAGAATGTCTTCAGTCTTTGCCAAATATCCCTTGAGGTCAGTTGAAAGCTACATCAGTAGTTGATCCATTCCTTCATTCCAAGTACATAAACTGAAACCTTTCACTAAGCTATGTGTGAGAACACATGTCCTACATATGTCCTGATAACATAGGTTAAGACTTCCTCAGAACTTATCTCCAAAGAAAAAAATTTACACACTGGGTGCCGGTGGCTCACACCTATATTCCTAGCTACTCAGGAAGCTTGGACCTGAGTATCATGGTTCAAAGCCAGCCCAGGCAAGGAAGTCCGTGAGATTCTTATCTCCAATAAACTACCAGAAAACTGGAAGTAGCACTGTGAATTAAGCAGTAGAACACTCTCTAAGAGCTGAGGGACAGTGCCCAGGCAGAGTTCAAGCCCCACAACCTACCAAACAACAACAACAACAATAACAACCACCACCACCACCACCACACAACCCCCCTCCCCCAAAATTGACACTTTATATGACCCCAATAGTATTGAAAGTAGGTCTTCTAATTTTGCATTTAAGGTTTTTAGAATCTTATTTTGTTACTCTTAAGAAGGGATTATCGGGCTGGGAATGTGGCTTAGTGGTAGAATGCTTGCCCAGCATGCATGAAGCCCTGGGTTTGATTCCTTAGCGCCACATAAACACAAAAGCCAGAAGGGGCATTGAGGCTCAAGTGGTAGAGTGCTAGCCTTGAGCAAAAAGAGCTCAGGGACAGTGCCCAGGCCCTGAGATCAAGCCCCAGGACTGGCAAAAAAAAAAAAAGATTATTAAATTCTGATTTTAATAAAACTTGATACAAATATCAAAACAACATTTCCTTTGGATAAAAACTATTAAGAGTTTAACTCTGAATTAGAGTGCTTTTTAAATAACAAAAAACCAGAAGAAATGCACTCTAGAAAAATCTAGACTTTGGTTCTGAAGACAAATTGCCTAAATACAAGGAAAATAAATTATTTTTATTAGTTACACTGGTTTAATAATTCTCAGGTTCAGAGCTGGGAATGTGGCTCAGGGATAGAGTGCTTGCCTTGCATGCATGAGGCCCTGGGTTCGATTCCTCAGCACCACATAAGCAGAAAAGGCAGGAAGTGGCGCTGTGGCTCAAGTGGTAGAGCGCTAGCCTTGAGCTAAAGAGCTGAGGGACAGCACCCAGGCCCAGAGTTCAGGCCATATGACTGACAGGGAAAAAAAAAAAGAAAAAGAATACTTCTCAAGCTCATGAGAGAACAAAAGACTTTCTTGAGCCAGGTGCCACATACACCTACAATCCCAGCTACTCAGGAGACTGAAATCTGAGGATTACAGTTTGAAACTAACCCAGACAGGAAAGCCTGTAAGACTCTTATCTGCAATTAACCATCAAAAGCCTATGAAGGTGTGGTTCAAGTGGTAGAGCACCAGTCTTATGTGAAAAAGTTAAGCACAGCACCTAAGCCATGAGTTCAAGCCCTAGTACCAGCATACATACAAAAAGAAACCCCCTCACGATGATGATGTTGGAGTAAGAATAGCATATTACAACTAAGAAGAAGTATGAAGGTTTCCAGCTACATTTCGAAGTGTGCAGATACTAGTGCGGACACCTGAGGTCTGGTATGACCCAAATCAGAGGAGGCACTCCCTGCTCATGCGTCTAGTTAGGGAAGCAAAAAGCAGACAAACATAACCGAATTGCCTTTAGAGCTGAAGAAGCCTCATGGATACACAGGAAAAATGGGGTTCTGAAACCTTTAGTCTGCATTCCTCTACCAGCCCTTGCCCACAAAATCCTGGTGACGCTGGTACTTGTGGTCTTCAGGCCTCACCGTGAGGCCTGCTGACCCATGTAGAGCAGAGATGGGCAGAGCTCCTGTAACCAGGTGACCAGAGAAGGACTTTCTCAGGAATTAAACTATAAAACCAAATATTGAATGGTGAAGTGAAGTTGATCTCATGAGAAATGGCAAATACAAAGATCTTCAGTAGGAATGAGGCACAGTGAACAAGACAACACTGGGGCTGACACACCATGATCAGAATGACAGAAGAGGCACATGTCCAACCATCCAAACCACCTAGGGCCTGCTTGAATTTTAATTGAATAGCAATGAGTGATATTTAGGAGTGAGCTTATCTATGTCACCCTGGGTGCTGGTTTAAAGACAACCTACAGCAGAGCAAAGTGAAGAAGGGAGAGACTACAGGCAATCAAACTTCCTGACTTATTCAAATTTAGTCACTGCCTTTGCAATGGAAATAATTGGACATATTGCCAAAATTATCCTGGGTAAATAGCCTAGTTCATTCACATGGATATTTTCCTTAAAAACAATGTGATAATTCCCAAAATGAAGAATTATTTTATCAAGTACACATTTGCTTGGGCTGATGGCTCATGCTTGAAATCTTAGCTACATAGGAAACAGAGATTTGAGGATTCAGGTTCAAAGCCAGCCTAGGCAGCAAAGTCCACTCTTCTCTCCAATTAACCATCAAAAAGCCAGAAGGGGAAGTGGAGCTGTGGCTCAAGTGGCAGAGCACTAGCCTTGAGCAAAAGCTCATTGACAGACCCTGAGTTCAAGCACCACGCCAGGTGTGTGTATGGACACGCACAAGTGTGCATGGACACACACACATACCCTCCACACCTATACTCATTAAGTTTTTAAAATAACACCAAAGTTTTTGGAGCCAACCAGACTTCCCTATTCCGCCTTCCCTGTGATTGACTCTGACCCCTGGAGACCATCACTTTGCTATTTTTTCACAACTTTTCACTCCATTTACCTCCATGTTTGTAAGTAGTATGTTCCTATTGTCTATTTTTTGGATCAAAATGTTATATTCTGAATTTTTAATATGGTAGGCCAGTGCTACTTTAAAAAATTCCAGAAAGGGGGCTGGGAAGGTGGCTCAGTGTAGAGTGCTTGCCTTGCATGCATGAAGCCCTGGGTTCGATTCCTCAGCACCACATAAGCAAAAAGCTGGAAGTGGCGCTGTGGCTCAAGTGGTAGAGTGCTAGCCTTGAGCTGAAGAGCTGAGGGACAGTGCCCAGGCCCAAAGTTCAGGCCCCACGACCGGACCCCCCCAGAAAAAAAAAAATTCCAGAAAGCCTCCCATGCCTATGAACAGACCTCTGTAACGAATCTCCCATGCCATGGTCACCCAGTCCAGTAACCACGCTTGTCTGTTTCACTCACCATTACTTGTATGCCACTCAATGGTGACTTTTAGTTCCTTTTTTTTGCGGGGGAAGAAGATAGAGACAGTGCCATGAAGTACCCCAAGCTGGAACACACAATCTTTCTGCGTAGTCTCACAAGGAAACAACATATACCTGTTTTTATGTTTGTTTTTGCGGTATCAGGGTTTATTATTTTTTAGGTTTTAGTTTTTTTCTCAGTCGTGGGGCTTGAACTATGGGTTTGGGCGCTGTTCCTGAGCTCTTCAGCTATGAGTTGAGTGCTTTACTAGTTGAGCCACAACGCCACTTCTGGTTTTCTAGTGGTTTATTGGAGATAAGATTCTCATGGACTACCCTGCCCCAGCTGGCTTTTGAACTGCGATCCTCATATCTCAGCCTCCTGAGTAGCTAGGATTACAGGCGTGAGCCACCAGTGCCCGGCAGTATCAGAGTTTAAACTCTTGGTTTTGCACTTACTAGACAAGCTCTCTATTTCAATCTCTCTTTTTGTTGTTGTTGTTTTTAAGTGAAATTTACATACATTCAACACACAAATCTATTTTTTTTTTTTTTTTTGCCCATCCTGGGGCTTGAACTCAAGGCCTAGGCACTGTCTCCGAGCTTCTTTTGCTCAAGGCTAGCACTCTACCACTTGAGCCACAGCATCACTTCTGGCTTTTTTTGTTTATGTGATACTAAGGAATCAAACTCAGGCCTTCATTCATGCTAGGCATGCACTCCACCACCAAGGCACATAAATTTTTTTTCAATTTATGTCAAGAACTCAAAAGCATCACAACAAACAAAAGGAAAGAAGAACTCCTGGATGTGAAAAAAAGGTGCAGTAATCAAATACATTATCGTCTGGGTACTGGTGGCTCACTAGAATTCTAATTAGGAGACTGAGATCTTGAGGATCACAGTTCAAAGCCAGCCCAAGCAGAAAAGTCTATGAGGCTCTTATCACCAATAAGCTAAAGACTGGGAAGGTGGCTCAGTGGTAGAGTCCTTGCCTTCATGTAAGCATGAAGCCCTGGGTTCAATTCCTCAGCACCACATAAACGGTAAAAGCTGGAAGTGGCACTGTGGCTCAAGTGGTAGAGCGCTAGCCTTGATCTAAAGAGGTGAGGGACAGCGCAGCGCCTAGGCCCAGAGTTCAGGCCTGATGACTGACAAAAAAAAAAAAAAAAAGGCATACTAATAAGCTAGCAAAAAGCCAGAACCTGAGGTGTGGCTCAAGTGGCAGGATTTCTTGAACCCAAGAGTTTAAGTCCAGTCTGGGCAACACAGTGAGACCTTTTTGCTTTTGTTAGTGTTTTCTTTTAAAAAGGAAGATGGGAAAGGTAAAAACAAAAAGCTCATAATTCAATGATA